GGACAGATAAGGTGAACTTCCGCACGCCCATCCTTGCCTGCTGAGTGCGCAGTTTTAACGGATGACCTCGGAGGTTGATCGTGGTGGGGAATTCAGAAATGCTCTCAAAAGTCACGCTGCAATCCAACCCATTTACAATGCTGAATGCTGGCAAAATATCCCCGTAAAATTGCCCGTAATTCAAAGAGAAGAAGTTCAGATTTACTAGGCTGGTTTCATAAGGAAAGGATCTCTGACCCCCAGCCATATTCCTGGTTCTCCTCTGAACTCTTTCGGGGCAGTTTTGATCCGCAACCGCCCACGGTCTCCAGGCATGTATGCCGTATTCCAAGTGCGGCCACATGAGCGTCCCGAAAGTTTTTGAGAATGCATCCTTGTCAAAATCCATGAGCGCACGCTTGATGGCGTAGAGATGGGACATTGCACTTTTTGCCACTCTCGAACAAGGGGCGGATGATTTAAGGGAGTTCATCGTCAGCACACTGCGGTCCTTTTGAGCTTGGACGTCTCGTAATGCCGCACCGCCCAGAAAGTAATCTTTTGTGCTGGCGGATCTGACTGTGTTGCCGAGGCGAATAATGGTACACTCACCAACGGTAAACAGCAGGAGCTAATGGCTTGACCACTCTTCCAACCGATTTAGCTTCACCTGCAGTCTGTTTTCGTTGGTAGTGCTCCGAATTGCACTCCATATTTTCATGGCATCTGCAAACATTGCTGCTTCGCAGTCCACAGCTCTTGCACAATCGTCCGCTTATATTGAAAACAAAATGGGTCCCAGCGCTGACCTCTGAGGAACAAAACTCTAAAACAGCAAAATCTGATTACCCATGACCAATGACGCAGTTTCTGATTCATTTGGGGAAGTCCCCTTTGATCCCTATTTTAATAATAATAATAATAATAATAATAATAGTTATAATTTTTATTCATGACCCGTGGGGGTCCCTTCATAGCAATTAAGAATAACTTTTACATGAATATTAGAATTTCAGAACAGGTATATATAATCTATACAATACTTAAATCGTAGCGATTGAATAAGTAATATGTTACGAAGAATGATAAGCGAGCAGTGAAAAAACTCCTAACTTATAATGAAAATGAGTTTGACTGGACTAACATTATGGGAGAAAAAACTGTCGCTCCTTAATACATAAAAAGCAGGCAGGACCGGCCTGTATGTGGCAGTGTGTAACGGATTTCATGCAGGGGTAAGCAGGAAGGTCAGGCAGGACTGGGCTGCATGTGGTATTGAGTAAAAGGTTTGAAATGGGCATCATGAGGACAGAATTCATATGCCGGATGAGGCCATTCATGTCAGAGTGGCGAATAGAAAACCAGTCCCAATGCAATAGGAACCCAAATACGATCGGTTACAATTAGCCGAGTCCAGCCGAGGAGTGTGCAAGGGAGATGCGACCAGACTACTAGTTCGAAGCCCTCATGTTCGCGGATGACATAAAAATTTGGAGTGAATTCAAGTTTGATGATGACGCAAAGAAATTGTAGTCGAACATCGACAAACTGTGTGCTTGCTCGAACATATGGCTTTCGAAGTGGTTCGAACCCTGGCAAATCCGTCGCTAACATCTTCCGTCATCGGTCCTCCTCTAAGCGTGGTCAT